TTAAAACAATGATGTGGAGTTATTGTTAACCTTTTTTTGCAATGCAACAGTTTCGGGCAAGTGCCATTTTCTTTAGCAAGACATGCAGTTCATGAGCAGCCAGTGATAAATGTGTGAGGGACTTGGGAGGTGAAGGATAGACCAGAGCTCCAAAATAATCTCCTATGCATGAGAGACTTAAGAGGCAATCTCTCTAGGTCTAGGTACAGACCACCAAAGGCGTCCCTGCTACTTCCAGACATTCAGAATACAGTGGTTGTTGCATGGGAAACCTGTAAGCAGATAGACCTGTAGCTCTGACCTTGGCCTGGAAAGACCTGCAGCCCGAAACGCTCCTGGAAGGAGCAGGATTCCCATTGTAGCTCTGATTTGCACAGATGTGATCAAGCCTTGCTTCCGTAAATTTGCGCGCAATGCATGAAAGCTGGTGGCCTGATTTCTCTGCCCTGTCTGTGTGCACCTGCTGCTTCCTTTGGAAGCCAGTTTGCAGGTGTAGGCTGTCAATATTCTTAAAATTTCCCCATATGTCCTACTCACGGACTTGGATCTTACATTTCCAGGACCATTTGTGTATGAGGACTGTGGCAAGAAGCTGCTGTTCCTTGTGCTCTGTCTCAATCCCTTCCTGATTCCCTCATCCTCCTGCTGTTTTACCGAGTGTTTTACAGTCCTGTTCTCCACATGCAAAACTGGGAATGCTGAAGCCAGTTAGCAGCAGAAGGTGTAATAAACGCAGAGAAATTCAAATTAGGGTGGCATTTTTCACACCTTTTCTGATTTAAATGTGGAATGACTACCTGAGGGAAGTCAGACATTCTTGATTAAGTTGTGTCTTTCCGAACTAAATCCTGGGTACAGTCAAAACCTGGGCTCAGTAAACTGTAGTTTGGGAGGAAAAAGCTGTAGTTTGGGAGACATGTTGTGGTTGCCTGTTTTAACTGAGGCAATCGGACCAGATTAGTTGTTTAGAGGGTAAAGCTTTGCACTTTCTCTGTCTCTAATAAATATGGATCATTGAATTTTGCTTCTCTGGTGGCAAAGTCACTTACTCGAGATTGCTGTGTAAAAATTGCTGTATGTACCCTGATTCAATCAATACTTGTTTTCTCTGGAGAGAAGCACGGTGCTTTTACTAGTAGCAAAATTGTCGTGCTTTAATCTGCAGACAGTAGGAGTTTAATAATCAAGTAACCAAATTGGTAGGTGTATTTGCAGACAAAATAAGTTAAATGGTTTTGCTCAGCTTCCACGTGTGGTGGTGTCAGCTGACGTTTGCAGGAGTTAAAGGTAAGGGAGGGAAGGATGTGAAGTTGTAATTTTCCTACGACTTGTGTAAGTACTGTGACAACTCTGCAAATGATGCAGGCTTCCTCTTCCTCAGGTGTGACTCCACCTGATGTATCTGTGTCTCGCTGCTCCATTTGGAAGATGCTCCAGACGATATTTTTGTCAGGTCTCTTATGTGTTGATGTTGCAGTCCTGTATCAGAAAGCATTAACTCAATTTTATTTTTTTTGTTAGATTCTAAACTTACCTTTCCTTTGAGCTCTCAGGGTGATTTACCTATGTTCTCCATTGCATAGACTGCATTTTTCTTTGCCAGTTGGCCTTGGTTGCTTGAAAGCAAAATAACATGATGTACATATTCTATGAGGGTGCCCTAGGAGTGACTTCGTTAGTGTAGGATCCAGACTAGAGAAAAGGCACTTTGTCCAAAAATTTTCTGATAAGATATTAGCAGTTGGTTTGAAGAGGTACCAGTCCCACTGCAGCTGAAGAAAAGATTTAAAAGAAAGTCTTTGAATTTAGTGGATCTACCTTTTTTTAAAAAAAAAAAAAAAAAGGTTCTAATTGATCTATTTTTGCTGCTCAGCTTGTGTTTCTTTCTGCTGACTGTAGTACTGTAAACAGAGATAGAGTACCTTGCTGGCCTCCAGGCCTGGCCAGAGGAGCTGTGGGAAGGGAACTGAACTCCTAGAGAGGAGAAAAGGCTTCTGATGGATGATTTCTGACTTTCTCATTTGAAGGAAGAAAAAAAAAAAAAAAAAAGCTTTGCGATTCCCTGAGACTTTGTAATTAAAATAAATAAATAAATAAATAAATAAAATTGTTTAATGTTTTATCTCGATTTTATCTGTGTTCCAGGGAAATATTGTACAAAAATGAAAAAAATAAGTCCAAAGCTGGTATCTCCGATAACTTCTAAAAGCATAACGTGTTAAGGAAGTAGAGACTGGGGAAGTGATGCTGGTTATGGGTCCCTTATTTCTTACTGTGTCCATTGTGGGTTATAAGAGGGGGTGGGAAATTCAGTAGAGTGCTGTCTTGTTTTTTTTCAACATAGACATCCTTTGGGCTACAGATATCACAGTGGGATGTGCAGCTTTTTTCTCCAGAGATGAGACTAATGTGTCTGGCGTAGAACAATAAGGCTACCACTGCGGGTTTAGGAGTTCTTAAAAATGACTTGTTATTTGAGATGCTCAGCTTAAGGGAGAGAGTCGGGGTTATTTTTGTGTCTGAATATGAGCACTATGAAGAAACAAGGCCCTCCAGAACTACAAGGGATTTAAAACCCTCTCTGGCAGGAGTGAACAGCATAGAATCATCAAATGTTGTGAGTTGGAAGGGACCCATAAGGATCATCCAGTCCAACTCCTGTCTCTGCACAGGACAATCCCAACATTCACACCATGTCCCTGAGGGCACATGTTGGCCAAATGCTGCTGGAATCTTGTCAGGCTTGGTGCCATCAGCCCCTCCCTGGGGAGCCTGTCCCAGTGCTCCACCACCCTCTGCCTCAAGAACCTTTTCCTCATGGCCAACCTCACCCTCCCCTGCCACATCTTCCTGCCATTCCCTCTGCTCCTGGCATTCGTTGGTGGCCAGAGAGAAGAGATCAGCGCCGCCCCTCATCTTCCCCTTGGGAGGAAGTGCTAGACCCCCATGAGATCTCCTCTCAGTCTCCTCTTCTCCAGGCTGAACAAATCAAGGGACTTCAGCCTTTCCTCACACCCTTCCCCTCTAAACCCTTCCCCAATGTTGTGTCCCTCCTCTGGACACTCTCCAGGAGCTTTAGATCCTTTTTCTCCTATGGTGCCCAAACTGCCCCCAGTGCTGGAGGTGAGGCCGCCCCATCTGTATGACTTGCTATACCCCAGGGCCATGTTCCATTTTTCTGAATTTGAATGTGCATTTTGCAGCCTGGTTATAGTTTTTAAGACTTTAAATTGAAGTATTGACACTTTTTTTCCCAGTTTCTTTTTTCTTCTTTCTGTTGCATCTTTTTGTAACTTCTCTGGAGCTGCAATCCATTAGTTCTGCTCCTAAAATCAGTGGAGCTTACTTGGAAAACCTTTTCTGGTTCCTGTGGCAAACTGATGTATGAAACAAAAGTTTTTGCAGGCTAAGAGAGATTTTTGTTTTAACAGCTCTGGTGCTGACAGGCGTGTTATTCGCATGTGTAACTTCTGTGGTTGTTTTGGAAGATGGGCTGTAATGGGTGCCATAAAAGCTGTTTTGATTAAAAAATGTTATACTTTGTACATAGGAATGTTGTCTGGTAATTCGTTCTTTTTCAATCTTTCCTTAGTAAAAATAAATCCCAGTTTTAGTAAAAGCTTCAGTGGGCCTTTTAGCTGTGGTGTTTGATTTTTTTTAACAGCTTGCAAGACTGGTATTGTCAAATGCAATTTAATTTAACACTAAATTTTACCCAAATGTTGCTGTCTTGTTTGTCACATTTTACACGATGGGGAGGAACTCGGTCAAGTGCCAGATAACCATTAGTAATAATTACGTACAAACATGTCAAATGTAAGTCTATCTGTATTGTTGATCTAGTGGTTTTTGGCAGCTTGTAAAGAATGGGACTCACCAAAGGGCTCAAACTTTTAAAATGAGAATTCTTTGGGATGTGATTAGCTTTTTTTACAGCGTGTAACTGCAGCTCTTGGTGTAGTGGGACTTCTGAAGGCTGCAACAGCACTGAATCATAACTTAATATTGAGCTGATTCTTTAGAAATCCTTAAGCATAAAAGAGAGAGGTGCTGTAATGTAAAGTAGCAGAGAGCAACTGAAGTGCTGTTAGGTTGTGGCATCACCAATGTTGTCGTGCTTCCCTTTTTACCATTGTGCAGGACTTCGTGGCTACTTGGGTACATGCGACTCTTTGTTCTGATTCATTCTGATCTCTGGGAGCCAGGTGCAAAACTTTGATGCTTATATACTTCTGTCCTCCATCAGCTTCCTATTTCTGTCCAGGTCTACAAATGTAAAATCCATATATTTTGATGCGTTACTAAGAGAGATGAAAGGCTTTCATCCTGAACAAGTCAAGTATGTCTTGGGAGTCCTGACTTTACTAACAGCAATGACCACAAAATGAACTGTGGTGGGGGTTTTTTTGTTGTGTTTTTTTTTTTTCCCCCTTGTTCTTCTGTCCTCTTTTAAAAGCACTAACATCAAACCATGCGTGGGAGATGCGTTTCTTCTGCTTCTTGCACAAATCAGCTTTGTAATGTAACTTAGACGCTTCAAAAGTTGAGAAACCTTTTTAAGTTTAGACTTTTAGTAATTCAGTGGATGATCTCTAGCTCTGATTTCTGTCCAAGGCAATGTTGCTGTTTATACTTCAGCTTTCTTCTTCATAATGGAGTTCTTCATAAACGAGTACGACTTCATAATGGAGACTCGTGAAGCAATGGAGGACTGTCTGGCAGGACAAGTAACTGGTATAATTGCTTGTTTTTATGGAGATGTTAAATGCTAACTTTGCTTTCATTAACTGAAGATTTGCCCCTGTGGATTTCTTTTAGTTCCCAGAAATAACTGTCTAGGCAGAGCTGGAAGCTCTGGAGCACATGTAAGGGATGCTCCCACAGCAGCTCTGTTGGTAGCTACTGAGTGCTCTACCTCTTCTGACTGTACTCTGAAGGCAGATGGAGGCAGGGACAGGGTCAGAAGCAAGGACCAAGAGGTTTCTTTCTTAATGAATAAGATGCTTTTGTGTTTCTGCAGGTGGATTTGCAATAGTTTTTCTTGTGAGGACTAACAATGGAATGAAATGTGCCCTGAAGCGCATGTACGTCAATAACGAGTACGACTTGCAAGTCTGCAAAAGAGAAATCCAAATCATGGTAAGTCACCACATTGCATTGGGGCCCCAGGCTGGGAGTGGAACGGTGTGAGAGCCTGCTCACCTTCTGCCTGTGATCTGTGTAGCATCATGTTGCAAACTGTGGGTTTTCTTAGCAAAACTGTCTTTCTTCTGGAAAGACCCAAGTCCTGGAGTTATGTGCCTATGTGGAAAATCTCAGATTGAATTATTTAAAATGTAAATAGCTTCAGTGGACATGAAAAACATGGGAGCTGAAAAAGCAGAGGGAATGAGGAGAGAAAACGAGGGAAGGGAAAAAAACCTCCTGTGTCATTAACCCCACAACTTAATGGCAAAAGGAAGAGCTGAAGAGGTGAGCACGGTTGGAGATGTTAGACTTCAAGGTCTAACAATCTTCAGGGCTAAAGTCTTAAGCCTTTTAGACTTCATTGGAAAAGGCTGATGATTCTGTTGTAACTGTCTCTGAACTCAAATCAGTGCATGAATGGAAGACCTCCATCCTGAGATGAATTTGTATCACAGTAGCTTCTAATTTTTTGGGTTGGGATGAATGCTAGCTCTGTGTTGGTGAGGTTGATAGATTAAAACAGTAAATGTGGAGTAGTTGCTGCCTGGACTTTTGAAACAGGGAAGTGTTTATAATAAGCACTGGGATGTTTCTCTAGATTATTGGATACAAGGAGTTAAAAGATGGCTGGTTTTAGTAGCTGTTTTTAATTTAGTGTTTCTAAACAAAGAAAAAATTGATGATCCAAATAGATTTACTTAGTCTTGTTTGGAGCCTAAACATGGGAAGTGCCACTTTTGAACTTAGATTCAAAGATACTGATGAACATTTAGAGCAGCTGTGAGGTGCAAAAGGAAATACAAAATCCTCATTCTGCTAATTTAGAACACGAGGTATAGGTTTGGGGTAGATGATATTCATATTGGAAGCTCTTACCTGTAGCAATTCTGGGTGTGTTTTTTTAAGAAGCTTTTAATTAGGTTAATACATTTAAAGTTAACTCCTGGAGTTTGTGCGATAGTGCAGTGAAGCTTTTGGGCATGCTTTGTCATCACCATAGCTAATGCTACATGGGAAAAGTTGAGATTAGATTTTACATCAAAGATTTTAGCTGTGCTCACAAAGCTTGTTTACTTGGATTTTACTTGCTGGTGCTTTCCATTGTCTCCGTGTCTTTGGTACCTCTTTGAAATGTGTGGCTAACCTGGAAAGTGAGGGTAGGAGTATTCTTACTCAGCAGGTCCACGTGTTCCTGTACTGAATCTTGTCACAAACACTAATCTTTGCCCTGAAGGAACAGTATGTCCCTAAAAGGATGTATTTTCTTCTTTCCCAGCTTTTGTGCAATAAAGAAGTATTTTAAACTTAACTGGACTTTTTGCAGCCCTGTAGCGTTAGAGCAGAACGTGGCCAGCAGAATCTTGATTTCTTTTACTGTTGAAGCTGAACCTCACATTGGGACTGGCTGTCACACCTAGGAGTGTGCGTGAAGCTGGCAGTCCCAAAGAAATGAGATTTCCCTGCAGGTTTAGCATGTGCTATGGATAAGTCATTGATAAGAGAACTTGTGCTTTAATCCATCAAGTTACTTAAAGTAAGCTACTTCTAAAAGCAAGGTTAAAATTTATTTTATTACCTTAGGGGGTTTTTTAGGGCATATGAAGATTTGAGATACTCTTTTTCCAGCAGAAGAGTGGAAAGAGATGAGAAAAGTAAGCACAACATGTACTGTGCGTGGCCACCACAAACCGTCTGCCTTGTTCTCCTCTCTGCATAAAGGCAGAGCGGCTCAAAGCTCGTCCTGGGCCATCTAAGGGAACACGCAAAGATCTGGACTGATCCTTGGATAAGTTAGTTCATCAGGTTGGCTGTTTCTCTGCTATTTGTCTCAAATCCTTCTGGAAGGAAAACAGGTAGAGACAGACCTCGGCTTTGTTCAAGTTCTGTGTGACAATCCAAAGTGACAGGAGCTTGGGCCTATACAGGAGAACAGCTAGGAAAGCTCTGCAGTGTAGAGGAACCAGACTAAAATGTTGCTCACTCTATATGTGTATGCTTTGAATTTATTTATCTTACAGCGGGACCTATCTGGCCACAAGAACATTGTTGGATACATTGATTCCAGTATAAACTCAGTAAGCAGCGGTGATGTCTGGGAGGTGCTGATACTAATGGACTTCTGTCGAGGTGAGTGTGGGCTCAAGGTACTCTATTGGTAGATTTGTCCCTTTTCAGTGCTTACAAGAAACTTGCACAACACCTTCCTTTGAAAAAAACAAAGCTGTTTCTAGGCCTGGCCCTTCCTTGGCTACCAAGGAACTATTCTGAATAAAGCAAAGCCAAAACTAGGAGTGGAGAAATGGATGATATGTGAAGTTATGCTGATGCTGTTAATGGTACCTACCTAACGGTACCACTAGTACCACCTTTGCCCCTGCCCAGGGTGGTCCTAGATCCTTTCTGTTGCAAACGAGAACCTTGAATATATATTGCTGTTTTCCATAAGTTGATCCACACAAGAAGTGGCTCTTCTAAAGCTGCCAGGCTGTGGAATTAAATTCTTTGCTTTGTCATATTGCAAGCTTTTTCCACTTCAGCCTGACTTAGGATTGTTCTGGAAGAAGCTTGAAAATGAATAATGTGAAACCAAAAAGTATTCCTTTTACCTCTGACCTTTTTGCTTGGCTATCTCTAGCCAGACAGCCTCTTCCAGTCTTTTCCAGCTGTCCCAAAGCTTTGATCTCTTGTGGCTAGGATGTGGTGTTTGGAAAATGACGCATGTGCTGTGCTCAAATGGCTCTCGCAGGGATAATGTTAAGCAAAAATAATGTTCTGGCCAGGTGACTTCATAAGTCTGTGGCTGTTTTGGATGGTGGCAGCTGATGGAAATAGGTATTCTTGGGACTGCTCAGCTTTTAGCTGAAGCCAGGTGCAGTGTAGCAAGAACAACTAGATGCCTTTAGACATGTAGGATGCAGCTTTCTGTTCTGCTTTGCCCTCTTTGCTGTTCTGTTTTGATGCAGGAATCTTGAATAATTTGCATTGGTTTATTTGCTGGTGAAAGGAAGAACCTTATGTGTAGTTTTGCTGAAGGAATCATTATGTAAGCTCTCTGTAAGCTTCAACCTAAACATCACAAGGAGTGTTGTAGGAAACAGGCCTGGCAGTGCTAGTAAATCCATACTCAGCTCCACATTGCAGACCCCACTGTGGAGGAAAGTGCAAACCATAGCAATGCAGAATGCACTCCCTCCAGCTGCCTTAGCCTCCCTTCTGGGACAGATTTCGGGCTGATGAAGTAAAATCTGTCTTCTTAAGGTATGTCCCTCCGTTGGAAATAAGGAGGGCTGCTAAGTGGTATTTCTCATGTGGCTTGCTTTTGCCAGATGCTCTGCTTAGCACACGCCTGCCTCTGTCTCCGACATCCAGACTGAAGCACAGGAATCGCTGTTGTACTTTGGATTTTCCCTTGTTACTGTCCTTCTGTGACAGCTTCCAAACCAAATCAGTGCGTCTTTGTGGGCAGAACTGCAGTCACTTTGAGTGGAAATGTTCACAGCTGTACTATTTATTAAGCCGAGCTTTTCTTTTGTACCATGAAAATAAAGTTTTTCCAACACTTGAGATGTGAAATGATACAGTTTTTGCTTTGGCAAAGGCTTTGCTTCAGAAAGGATGTTTTCCCTCTCTATATATAGGGTGTTTTGAGGGGGTAAGCACCTCTCTTGGATTGTTTTGGAAAGGCCTTGACAGCAACAAAACCTCAAAGTTGAGGCAAATTCAGGACTCATTAATGAAAACTTGCTTTTGTTTATCTGGAGTTCCCCTTGTTATAGATTTAATTTATTTATTTATTTATTTATTGTCAGTCTGACTTTAGCCAAGCCACGTAGTAATGTATGGGGTTTTTTTGAGTGTCTCCTTCTCCCTCCTCTTGCTCACATGGCAAACTATTTTGTGGACTGTGGGTGTCCCAAATTCAGCCTTTTATTCCTCTAGTCTGACAAAAAAGTCTTATTTTGAAGAAGAAAGAAAAAGATGCAACTCAGAATTACATCAGAGTGTTAACACAGCCAGGTGAATGTGGACTTTAGAAGCTAACTTGCTGCTCTCAAAGCATTATTCAAAGAGGAGATGAGATGTAACGCATGCCGGCAGATATGCAAAACCCCCTGGGATTTGGGCGAATTTTGAATTTGAACTCATCAACTTCTTGTGTGCTGACTGTACAGCCACAATTTGATGGGGAGCAGACTAACACAAGTTATGTCTGGTAGGACTGGGGCTTAGAGCAGGCTAAAGTACCTGCTCTGATTCTTGGTGTTTGTTTCTCCTCAGGAGGTCAGGTGGTGAACCTTATGAACCAGCGCCTGCAGACAGGCTTCACGGAGAATGAGGTACTGCAGATCTTCTGTGACACCTGCGAAGCCGTAGCCAGGTTGCATCAGTGCAAAACACCAATAATTCACAGGGATTTGAAGGTGAGTTGTGGATTCCGGTAACACAGCAGGGAGTGTGCATCCTCCTTAACGTGTCTGTTTGCTGCCTACACCACGGCAGACAGGCTTTGAATACCGGGACTCGTTTCCGTTGTTAGCAATGAGGAAAAGTGGATATAAATGCCTCTCTCTATTGAAAGATAAAAAAAGAAATGAGCCTCTCATTGCTACTTACCATATGTTTACCATCTATAGATCTACTTAAAAAACACAAATGTTTGTGAATAATTCCATTTTGCACAGGAGATGTGCCAGAATGTATCTGGTGAATTATTCACAGCGACTTTCTACCACCTGAAACACTATTGATGTTACAAGGTAGTTCACAAAAAGCATGCTGTAAATTTGTTTCCTGGACCCACATTAAAAGGATCCCTCCAGAGATGTTGGCCTTGGGGCAGGAGTTGTTAGAAGCTTTTGAAGCTGGTCTCTAACTCTCTGTTGACCATGAAAGTGCATTGTAAAACTCTGTGTACTTTGCTGGGAACAGAGGTAGGCCAGCTGGGAGAGCTTTTGAAAAACCCCATGCCTATAATCAAACAAACAAAGAGACATTCCCTTTCCTCTCAGCTAGCTCATAAAATGCCTGAATAATATATTCAGCCAAGAGGTATACTCCTGTGTACATCTGAAATTAAGATTTGCTTTGTGGGTCAGGTTCTGTTTTCTGAGCCCTTGACAGATATGTTTGGTGCTGCTGGCCATTTTTTTATGAGCAAAAGGTGCCACGTGTGCCAACAAGAGCCAGGTAGCACAGAGGAAAAAAATCCTTAGGGTTTGGTATGCTTAAGCATGTTTCAGATTATTGTGACCCCACTGCTCAGTCAGTTTGAATATATGAAACAAGTCTGGTACCAGTTTTTTCTAGAGTGAAATGGGTGGAGTCTTATAAATTTGAGGCCTGGATTTAAAGCTGGTAAGGTCTGTGGGTGTCTTGCAGGCATTTGTTTAGGCAAGGAAGACTAGTGTGAGAGGGTGAGGCTTAGGAACAGAAACCTCTACAGTTGATACTAACCCCTGCTGTTACCTTTTTGGTGAGTCCCTGGGTTTTTTAATGAAGAACAAAATCATTGTGTAGCATGTGAATAAATTCTGGGACATCTGTGGTGGATTAGTGAGTTGATCTCGAGTGTTACTTTCCACACTGAGTTGCGGTTGAAGTGGAGTGTTACAGTCTGATGTCCAGCCCACTACTCTGTGCTTAGATCAGTGAAGTTTGCAACGCCTGGCTCTTGGTTGGTAAGCTGTGCCCAAGGTCAGAGAGTTGGACTCCTCTCTGCTTTGAGACATGTTTCCCAGTTGAATATTATATTATTTCTGTCGTGATGACCTTTGGAGCTCCAGTCACAATTGGGGATCTTAAGTACTAACACAGAATTAGTGATTTGGATATGTTTTGACTTTATGTAAGTTCAAATTTAATGAAGCCAAGGAGGATCTGCAGTTCCAGCAGAGAGATTAAGGTCCAGAGAAGTTTTGTGAAAGTTCTGAGTGTAAGGAAAGGCATCCATCGGGTAGGTGTTTGTTGGGGTGAACATAAGCCTGTTGAAGAGTGGGCAGATGTTGACTTCGCAGACAGCTTTGTGGGGGTTGGAGGCTTTTTTTGCCTTCCAGCTGTTTGATGTTGCTCTAACACTGGAGGTTCCTGCCCAGAGAGCTCTGCCAGCAGAAGGCATCGTGTGAATAGTCTTTAAGCCCTTTCAGACAAATGCAGCTGGGTTAGTTTCACTGGCCTGCGGCTGTGATTTTGAGTTAACCCAACAGGCTTTGCCTGAAGCAGAACAACCTCCTGTTGGCACAATCTCCAGCTGGTGGGACCGACAGCTGGGGACAACAGCACCTTTAAGCAGCGTGCCTGTAGGCAAAAGTGGACATCTCACTGTGAATAAAGGCCATGAAAAAGAGAATATGTCTTCCCTGTGTTTGTTTATTAAGATTTTCCTTCACGATCTGCTGGTTAGCTGTCAGGTGCTGCATCAGTCTGTCCCTGTGTGCTTCCAGCTGCACGATGTGCTGTACAAGGGGTGATGTTTAGTTTTGTTGATTGACTGCTGCAAAAACAGATGTATATTGATGCTGCTTTTTCCTAAAAATTAGGAAGCCCCTCATGTGCTGCTGCTGCCCTAGTTAGGACCCCTGTAGAGGCAGTGTGAGCCTACTGGCAGTAGCCTTGCCTTGCATGGTTACCTTTGCTTGTTCTTGCAGATGTCTTCGTCACCCTCAGGGTTCATAGGCCATTACTGCTGCAAGGCCTTCCCCAAAAAGTTTATTTTTGTTCTCGTCCCTCTGGAGTAAGACCACTTCCTATATCTTTAGGTTAGGCCTTTTAAAAGCAAAGAACAAATGGCCAGACCTTACGGCTATCTGTTATATTACTCCGGCTGTGAAGTTTCTGCTTCTAATTTGGGATCTGTGCAGAGAAACTGTAACTGTCAGACCCCAGAGGAGTAGGATTTAGTGAGATGGAGGGAGAGGGAGATCTGTCTAGGGCTGATAATAACAATTTACACAAGTACCCTATACCTGGTGGCAGTTGTCTGAATAACTTGTCTTATATTGAACCTAGTCTTTCCAGTCTTGCATCCTATGATTTGTGTTGCTCACGAAGCACCAGCGTAGAGCCAACTTTGATTCCTACAGCTTGGAGCTTTCTGCAGTGAGACATCTCCCACTTCTACCTGGGATGCTTCTGCTAGTCTGAACCCATATGGTTCTGGGAGTAGATGACTGGCTTTCATGTGAGTGTCTGAATTTTCTTGTAGATACACAGCAGGATACAGCAAATACTATGTCAGTCAACCCAGAGGATGCTCTTGATCAAACCTTCTCTCTCCTTTCCTTTCATGGAATAACTAGGAGGTTGTGCTCTCATGTTAAGGATTTGGTTTCTTCTGCTTTCGTTGTAGCAGGCGACCTCCCAATGTTGCACTTCTCTGTGGCGTGATAGGACAGTCACATTGTGCTGCTGTGCTTTCTTCCATCGCCCTTCTTCGTAGCTCCAAGTCTTGCCCTGATGACACCAACAAGCCTTTGTGTGGGATTTGTCTGACAGATCTGTTTTCACAGAGTGTGATAAGTAAAATTGTTCAGTCCTCTAATAGTAAACCCTTCACAGAATCGCAGAATGTTAGGGATTGGAAGGGACCTCGAAAGAGCAGCTGGAACAAGTCCAGAGGAGGGCCACCAGGATGATCCGAGGGCTGGAGCACCTCTCCTATGAGGACAGGCTGAGAGAGTTGGGGCTGTTGAGCCTGGAAAAGAGAAGGCTCCGGGGAGATCTTATAGCGGCCTCCCAGTACCTGAAGGGGCTACAAGAAAGCTGGGGAAGGACTTTTCATAAGGGCAGTTAATGACAAAACAAGGGGAAATGGGTTTAAACTGAAAGAGGGGAGGTTTAGATTAGATATTGGGAAGAAGTTCTTCACTGTGAGGGTGGTGAGACAGTGTCCCAGGTTGCCCAAGAAAGTTGTGGCTGCTGGCAGGGGGGTTGGAACTGGATGAGCTTTAAGGTCCCTTCCAACCCAAACCATTCTAAGATTCTATAATCCAACCCCCCTGCCAGAGCAGGATCACCTACAGTAGGTTGTCTGGAACATGTCCAGGCAGGTTTTGAATGTCTTCAGAGAAGGAGACTCCACAACCTCTCTGGGCAGCCTTGTGTTGACCATGTTAAGAATATACCTCTGCCAAATCATTTAGTGCTCTTAGACATCACATTGCATTCATTTCTTTGCTATGAAATGCTAAATAAGCTTTCAGAAGTAAATAGTGAATGGTGCCAGGGGAGGAAGGGAAGTTGAAACATCTAAAGAGACCCGAAGGTTCTGGAAAGCAGTCAGAAAATGTACCTTGGTCATGCATCCCTCCCAGGTCGCTACCTGAGCTTAGAAATACCAGCCTTAGAAGCCATTGCTTTCATGAGAGGATATGTGTTGATTTTGCTAGTTAGAGAAATCCTTATTCCTTATTCCACGCCAGTCTGTGTCTGTGAGGTGGTTTTACTGCTTTACTTAAGGTTTTAGCAAAGAAGGGCATTTGTTTCAGAGAGTAAAAACTGTAGCTGGCTACATCCTGTAATTAACAAAACTTAAGGCAACTCATAGTTTCCCTTAAAGATTTTTGTTTGGGGTCTGAATCTGCCCTTGTAAGCGTTGGGCCTGTCAAAAACTGCAGCTTTAAGTGCTCAGAAGTGCTGAAAACTGGATTGCAGCTTTCTGAGTGTTTGACTGGAAGAAGGCACCTCCGTATTCTTTCTAAAGACGGTTTTCTCTGGCCTGGCAGTCAGTAGCAGTAATTCAGGTACTTTGTTTTGCTGTATCATTTTAAAATTTTTTTGGGGAGTTAGCAAACCAGCCTGGTTGCTGGATAGTCCAGTGCTGACGTTTCACAAAACTTGGAGGTTGTTTCAGTGAGAAGTCACCTCAGACTTCTCAGTCAGATAAAGTGGAAGGACTCTTCTGGATATATTCGATGAGTATTTGCAGGGAACAGGGAATAAGGCTGTCAGTGTTGATCTGCTAGGGAGAACATCTGTGTGCAATGCTTTATTCAAAGCAGATGGATAACAGAGGGGGGGGAAGGGGTGTTGTTTAACCCTTGGTTTCAAGCCAGCATTTCCCCCCTCAGCTGCTTTAATTTGGCTGCATTTTCTGATCCTTAAAATGCTGACTCCTTTTTTTTTTTTTTCTTTCATTCTTGTAAAAATCACTCTAGATGGGGAGGTCTACTTCCAAAAGATTTTGTTAGCAAACACTTATGTGGTAATTTTTTTTTTTTTTAAATATACGAGCAGTATGTTTTATCCCATTGTTGTATCTGAGCATTTGACATTGAAGATAAATGCATTAAAAATTGTGTGCATTCCCTTGAGAGAACATGCTGTTAATGCCACTATACAGATGAGGAATTAGAATACAGGGATGCTCTGCCAAAGAACTGAACTCAGGTTTTTCCACGTCTTATGTCAATGTTGTAACATTTAGACAGCTTGCTTAGGTGGATGCAAGCTAGATTTCTGTTAGTGCATGATTAAGTGTGAGTATTTAGGGGAAAGGCAGTGACTCTGCTGATGTTATTATTATTTTTTTTTTCAGCTAACCCAGATGTTTCTTTCAGCATTTGTTTAATTTGTCTGATTCAGGTTACCAAATAATATTTGAAAGAAAGGGGACATCTTCTCAGCAGCATGGAGGAGCCTCTGCTGATACAACCACTCTTTAGGGAGTGTGGGGTACCCGACACATTCTGGTAACAAGCATTTGGAGTGTGAGCATAAGCTGAGATTTGTTTTGAATGAGACTCTAAGTGACAGGTGAAATGCAGGCAAAGAACTGGAGATGTAATTTCAGAAGGTACAGAAATGTGGGTGCTGTCATCCATTTGCCTCCTCTCTGCCCCACTAGACAGCGAGGGGTTATAGCCCTTTATAAAGCTGTGGACAGCTTGTATTAGCTGTCCCAAATTCACATGCCAGACTGATTGGTCATAGTAGCTCAGGGAAGTTGAGCACTAAAGACATCGGGACACAGTTCTTGTCCTGAAGCACATAGTAGTCTTAATAGAGGCATGGTGATGTGCTTGTAAAAGGAGTCAGAAGAGGCAGGATGGAAGACAACTCTACAACTATGCTTGAACTTCTATTTTAGGAGATGTGACAAGAGTTTTGATGCATATTTTCTTTGCTGTCATTTTATGCTTATGTCAGATATGTCTGATCTGTCTTAAGGCACTAAAACCCCTGGCTAATCTAAAGAAAACAAGTGTGTTTTTGTCTGAGTGATTCTGTATTTGTGTGTGGTGCTCATAGGTTGAAAACATCCTGCTGCATGATCGTGGCCACTACGTCCTGTGTGACTTTGGAAGTGCTACTAACAAGTTCCAGAACCCTCAAACAGAAGGGGTAAATGCAGTAGAGGAGGAGATCAAAAAGTAAGTGTGCTTTTTCTTTTCAACTTAGACATAGTTTGTATTTGAAGGGTAAATTTTCTTGTACTGGGACTAAATTTTACGCAGGCCTGTTGCAGCACATTGAATGCTGCTGCATAGAAGTGTCTGCTGCAGGTAAATAAGCGCCTGGGGGAAGGTGAAACAAAAAACTGAGCCTGATGTAATTGCTTTGGACCTGAAAGACCGAGTGTACTAATGCGCAGAAGTTGCCCACCTTGCAGAGGTAGTGACATGCTCTGTTATGTATGGGGTCAGTCTGTCCCTCATCTATCTTGGCTTCTTTGAGCTGCAGTACAGCAGATAACAAAGTCCTTGTCCTCCATGAGCCACTCGTCATAAATCCTTGCAGTGACTAAGGGAATGCATGACCTAACTCCTCAGCCCTATGTAGAAAATGTAAGAACCTTGAGGTGTTTAATCTGGCTCCTTCCTTGCCCCATGCCTGGCCAGCTATAGCAGTAGCAGCTTGGTGCACCGTGACACTTTTCAAAAGGGAACTTTGACTGGCAGTTCAGTAGGACCTAGATCAGGAATGGAGCAGATGCCAGGTCCTTGGTCTTGCTTTAGTTTTGACAACGTCACTGCTGCAAACTCTCCAGTTCTGTTAATACAATATTCTGACTAGAAAACAGCATGTTAGAAATGTGTGCGCATTCCTCCTTTTTGTTAGGATTCAATTACACCTGCCTGGATTTCCTAGACCTGTTTGAAGCTTTTAGAGCACTCCTAGACTGACTGTGCAGTCTCTTTGGAATGCTCTATTTGTACACTTATTAACAAGCCTACAAAAACTTTGCCTTTAGCAATGCTTTTTTGTGATCAAGGTAAATAGCATGCAAAGTGCCACAGCAGAAATTATAGACCTGCTGATAGGAAATCTTATTGTAAGAGTCTCTTAAGCTCTGGTGCAGTTTCCAGCTTTTCTGTTTGTAGTGATGTGTTAAAAGGAGGCAGATTCTAGCTATAGTTTGAGGTATGAAATAATCTTTCCCTTGTTTACAATGACTCTGAGCAGAGTCCTGGTATGGAATTCTGTTTATTAGAAGCCACGTATCCAGCTACGATCTTTGTAATAAAGTAGGCCAAAGCCCCAGCAGTGAGGACATTGCAGAGGACATTTGACTACTGCCCTTGTTAATACTTTGAACCCTTGAGTGTTTCTTTTCTAGTTCTTAAAATGACCGTACACTTTTGTGAGTAAATTGCTTGCTTTAAAAAAGATCTTGTTTACTGCTTTGGTTTCCCTGGGCAGTTTGCAGTGGTTAGTGTTTTACTGCTAAAGTGTGTAGCAGATGCTGTTATTAAAAGGTTTTCCAATAGATTGTAGTCTTTAGTATTCCTTTCCCTAAAATGAACCGGGAAAGAGTGAATTTTGAATTATTTAGAAATGTGACATAGTGAAAATGCATCTGATATCTATTTTGAACTCACTGATAGATCTTTCTGTAACAGGTACACTACGTTATCCTATAGAGCACCAGAAATGGTCAACTTGTATAGTGGCAAACTTATTACTACAAAAGCAGACATATGGGTACGTATAAAAACCACTTAACATCATTCAGCCAGACTGCAGCTTGCTTTCATTACTATAATGAGAGGGTAACTTTCTGGCTGGGGCTAACCTCTTTTCATTAAGAGACTGGACAGTTTCTGAATAAAGAGTTCCTCCGCTTGATGTTTCTGATGAGTTACTACTGAGCAGGGTGGCTTGTGGATAAAAAGTGTGCTTCTTTGCATGCTACCTCCCATGTGGTTTAAATTTAGAGATGTATGAAATTCCAGGGTTGAACAGTGCAAACCTAATTTCATATCTTAACAGTTAAGGCAGAAAATTCAGTGTTGTAACTTCTCGTGGCTGGGTTGGGTTGAAAGCATGTGAAATCAAAGTTACTGGTCAGAATTTAGTAGAAAACTGAGAAAAAAAGACCTTCCCCCAGGAGCAATAGTATGCTTATCCTGGACAGTGTAACGCAGGTCTGAGTTGTCAAACCTGGCCAAAGACCGAGCTTTGGCACTGCTGTTTCTAATGATCAGTGCAATCTTGCCTTTCTTGTTGAGAGCAAAACGCAACTGTGGTGTAATCCATTACTTAATCAAGGATGGAAGGCTCCGCTTTAGTTGGAACGGAGATGAAAAAAAAATCTGTGCTGTTTGTAGTGCAGTGGCAATTCAGCAAATGGGATGTGTTTAAAATGCTAATTCAGAGCGTGTGTGTATGGCTGTTGAAGCCCTGAGCTAGGAAGTAACAAGGCAGAAGCAGTATAAGGAGAGTTTTAATGTATTCTCAATAGCTCTGCATCTGCATGTACAAGAGGAAAAATTGCTGGTCTGACATCTGCTGGGAAGAGTCCTCTGTCCTCTCCGGGAGCTCAGCTTGGAGTCAGGAACACAGCAGCTCCTGTGGGGCTCTTGCTCGGTTGAGT